AAAATAGGGGCGTTAATGATCAAAACTCTTCTTCTTCAACAACAAGATTCTATGGCAATGAGGTTTGATTAGAATGCCACAAATTATATGCGAATAAATACTGAATTTTTCCCCCAAAAAAAAGAGAATTGCCCAAGGTGTTTTGTTAGATATTATATATTATTCGTTGTTGGGATGTAGGGAAAAAAAGAACTTATTTGTTGTTTTAATAGGTGTAACTGTTTTTTAATTGGTGTAACTATCACAGTCTCATACAATTGTTAAAGCATGATGGTGTAACGATGTCGCGATACTAAATAGTACAACTATTTAATTTATGTAAACAACTGAATGAAAAATTGGGTTTGTGTCATAATTTGTGTAATTGTTTTGTGTAACTGTTTGTTGTATTATAGGACAATTGTAACTTATTGATGTAACTGATTAGTGTAATTATATTGTTGTAATATTAATATAAATAGAGTAAGAGAAAATAGGGAGACAGAGAGAAACAGTTAGAAAAAATATGCCTATATTTTACCTCCTATATTCCTTCCAAAGTATGTGGAAGGAAAACAGAGGGTTTCAACCCATCAACTATTTACCGAATGACAATATTGTCATTTTTTAAAAATATGCACTTTAACCTAAATAAGATTTTTTGTTATATTTTTGCTCAATTAAGTCTAAAAAGTTATATCGTCTTCCAAATTATCCTAAAAAAAAAATGTAAAAAACTGCCTGAATTGTTCTACAGATTCAAACCCATATCTTGACACATGGGATGGGCCTGGCAATGGCCCGATGGGCTTCATCATGGCTTTTTGATTAGGCCGTGGCAGCAGGGCAAATGATGAGATCAAATGATTTAAAATAGAGGTGAAATGATAAGATATTATAATAATTATTTTTTTTTGTTCTATTTTTATTTATATGATTTTTTTTATAGTCAATTATATTCGGACTAATTTACGCGCATGTATAAATCTTTCATGGTCTAACTTTAAAAAATTGTCAAATTTAAAATCTTGAACGTTTGAATTTAGAACTCGCCTCTGTTATTTTTAAGCTTAAAGCTTACGATTTACAATTTCAGTTGTCACGTTATTTTGTATTTTATTTTTATCCCTATTTTTTGTCAATCTAGCGATAATTTTTTAAGTTTTAGGTTTAGACTGGACAAGGACTTTGTATTCACAAACGAAAGTATCATTTTGATTATTTACTACACATACCAATACAAAGCTCCTCTCTCTCTCTTGATTATTTGCTACACTTACCAATACAAAGCTCTCTCAAAGCCTAGGAAAATAGTAAGATTTCAAGTGGTCTCTCTCCCAATCATTATTTCCAAGATTAAGCACTTGGTGCCAGGCCCAAGGATCGAAAGTGATGTAATAATATTTTTTTTGTTAGTTAATTCCACAAATGTTACAGAACTGTTACCTTGTTTTCCTTTTCTTATTCTATAGACACATTTTTCATACAATATTTGCTGATTAGGCATTAGTCGAGTCGTGTAGTATCATAAATGGAGTGTACTATTTTAGGTTTATGTCAAAAAAATATATTTAGTTACAAATTAATTAATACAATACTAAATTATTTAAATATAGAAACACAGAGTAACGCGATCATGAAAATTTTTCACTAGAGCTTCTTGTAGGGACTTTTCACATAAACCATTAAATCGAGATCCAACTGTTACTAGTTAAAGAATATCAAAATTAAATGAAAATACTTACCAAGTTAAGCTATTAACTAAAAAAGGAAATTTCATTGTAAAATTGATTACAATCTTGGTCATATTAAGAAACTAAATTTAATTTTTTTAAATCAAATATTTCCAAACAGATTAACTCCTTGACTCGAACTGGTTTATTGTTGCAACCCATGTAAGATTAAGTGACAAGTATAAGGAGATTTAAGTATAATTTATCAATCTAGTTTTATGCAGCAAACTGACGACGGTTAGTTTTAGGTACACATTAATACAAATTTTTATTTTTGAAAGTACAAATTAAAACTTTTGATTTTTAAAAGTGCAAATTGAAGTTCGAATGAGCTTTCAAGGTATAATTTACAATTAACCCATTAATTTATCTATCATGTGTTAATGTGGTAACATGTGACGACCCAAAGGTGTTCAAAACAATGGATAAGTCAAGGCATACCACAATAACCACAGACAGACCAATCACTGAGTGGTCTATGTCTAAGTTTTATTACTATATATATATATCCTTTGGAGCAGACAGTCTGTATAACCTGCTCAAGGTTTTCACCCATCATTGGCGGAGCCATGTTATGTTTTTTACAAATTGTGTTTCTATCCTTGAAATAATGTTAGTCACCTCATTTTAATTTATTATTTTTATAGGACTTAAGTTTACAAATTTATAAGGAAAAATTTTAATCACATACCTTTTAATTTATCATATCTTCAAAGATACCCCCATCTATTCTCTGAATCGTTATTGATTCTCCCATTTAGATTAAATGTGTTAAATAAAATGTAATTTTACTAAATTCTCTATAATATATTTTAGAAAAAATTTCACCCACACCCCCTCTAGATAGACATATATTCAATGAGACATCCTCGGATTTCTAAATTTTTTTTACATATTAAATTTTGAGCTGATTAAAATTTGATTCGATCTAATTAAAATTCATTTTTTTATGTATTAACATTTGATTCGATTAAAAATAATATATATTTACATATTAAAATTTGAGCTGATTAAATTTCATTTTTAATCAACTCACATTGAATTTTAATAGGCCTGAATTTTGATACATACAAAAATATGAATGTTAATCGACTCAAATTTTAACACGTAAAAAATAAATTTTACTCTACTTGAATTGAATTTTAATTAGCACGAATTTTAATAAATAAAAAAATATAAATTTTAATCAACACTAACAGTTCTGGTAAAGCTCAAATCGACTTGAATTTTAATATGTCAAAAAGGAATTTTATTAGGCTCAAATACGTAAAAAACATAAAAAAATTAATCAGCTCGAATTTTAATTAGCTCAAATTTAATATTTGAAAAGATAAATTTTAATCGTCTTGAATTTTAATCGAATGTTATATAAAAAGATTATTCGGGGTTTATGTATGGGTAATTTTAATATTTTTGAGTGTCAGTGATGTTTTGAATAATATAAAGAATGTCCTTAAATATATAATAAACTAGAAAGAGCGTAGTTGAAATTTTTAAATTTATAACTATATATGTTTTACAAATTTAGGCTAAATTGTAGTTTCTCTCAAACTATTATGCGATAAAATAGATTGAAATTATAATTAGTTTGGTAAATTAATTTAACAGTGTTCTACAACTAATTCATTTATTCCCTGAATGATTAATTTTTTTATATTGTCCCTCAAAAAAAATAAAAATGTTATAATGTGGTCCAAAAAGTTACAATTTGCTTCCAAAAATGTTGCAATAAAAATATTTTTGGACCACATTGTAACGTTTTTATTTTTTGAGGGAATAATGTGAAAAAATTAAACATTCAGAGATAAAGTGAGAATGTTTATATCTTTCGGGAGTGAAAATGAGATTTTCTCTAAAAATTGAGAATAAGAAACATATCTTCATGGAACCCACGTGCATGCTGAGCACGTGACTTACACCTGCATGATAACTATGGCCCACTAACAAGATGTTGTGGGCTCAACACTAGATTCGCATTCTGGCTGTCCACAAAATCATGTGAAAAAGCTCTTCTTTTTCTTTTTAGGGTCCCCACAGCGTGAAACTTTTGCTTTAAAAGTCCAAACTCAATTTGATACTCACCACTAGTGAAAAGCTCTTATGTCTCTCTTATTTTGGTTTCTTGGTGATCATAAAATTATTTCAATCATCATCTATATAATAATGATTACAAATTTTGAATATTCAAAAAGTATATCGGGATTGATAATGTTTTGTACTTTATGATTAGGTCTATTGATCATGTTGGATGACACAAATTTATATTAGATAAAAAAAAAATATTTCACTCGTATTATTCATTTGTTAGTTAGTGTCTAACGAGTCGTGTCATATTGGGTTCATATTATATATGAATTATGTATAATCGGTACATAAACGAGTTGAGTTGCATTTTTTTTTAATTAACTTCATTCATACTCGATTCGTTTATCAATTGTGTCATGTCAAGCCTATTAATTTATGAAACGGATGATTTAAAAAAAATTCAAACCCTCTAATTCTCTTCGATTGATTTTCATTTGCATATTTACTACTTTTTTTTTTTAGTTCTATATGCAATGTGTTTGATGTGTTTCAACTGGATTTTAATGATATAATTATACTTACTTCTTATATTTTTGTTTTATTACTTTGTTGTTTTGATACCTTAATGATAATACCTTTTTTTTTTTTTGAAGATAATCAGATCTACACATTACATTACGTTAGAAAATGTTGATTACAATAACGGCGTAGTGCATCCAACTCATGGCTGCAACCCAATGAGCTGCTGTGTTAAGAGCTCTCGGCTTGTGAACAAAGCTTAAATTAAACGCTTTAGCAAAATTGCGAATGTCACTAACAAAAGCATTGATCTCCCATGGAGGAGCATATTTCGAAACACACTTCTTGATTAACTCCAGATTGTCATTAGAAACAGTAGCATCACGAAGCCCAGAAGCAGAAATTAAGAGACAAGCTTCTCTTAGTGCAGCTGCTTCGGAATAAAAACTGGATACTTGAAAGATAGTTTGCCAAATATGGTAAAACTTGCGTGAAAAATAGTTTTGTAACCGAAATCAACGATTAATTAATGATTGATAGCTAGATAGTCTCTTTAGGAAAATATATTTTCAAAGTCATAAACAATAAAGTTATCATGTAACGCTCGGGGTCAATTGCAAAAGCTGTAATTGGCTGCATATTTCAAATATCATTCAATGAGTAAGGTGGCCACAGTACGTAGGGTTGATTTTTTGGAGGTGTAAAAATGAAGCAGTTTTCAATAAGAAGAAACCTAATCCAGTGATGGCTATTTCTCCAGCACAAAGTCTGTGGGGAGATTTCAGCTCCATAGGGAGTAGAATGCCGAGTAGCCCTCCAACAGCAACTATTGACTCTTCAGCAACCAACTCATGGGTTCCTCTTGCAAGTGACCAGCTGAAACTTAATTGCGATGAAGCTTTCAAGCAACACCAACAACAATCAGCAATTGGAATTGTGATCAGAAATGAAAGAGGCATCTTACTAAACGGAAAAGCTATGCAAATCCCAGCAGTGTCAAGCTTATATGCAGAAGCAGCGGCGGTACGAGAAGCAACTGTGATGGCGCAAGTCCTTGGACTGAACAGAGCAATTGTAGAGAGTGATAACTTGCAGGTAATAGTACTTTGTACCAATGAGGATGATCCACCATGGGAGATATGGCCTTTTATCAAGGATATTCGGATATGTGTGAGACAATTGCAACTATATTTCTACTATACACCTTCAGCTTTTAACAATGCGGTTCATTGGGTGGCAAATGCTTGTCTACCTCTATATCTACCATTATCTTGGGTAGATGGCCAGCCACAAGAATTAGCAGATATTTTATCAAAAGATTGTAATTACTCTTTTCATGAATAGAATGAAAATTTTGTTTGTGATAAAAAAAAAACAAAGATTTATAAAGTGTTGTAACTAGTTTCATCACCCTTTTTTTGGTTTGTACATTATTGAGTTGGCCATTTAAGCAATGAATTTGAACATATCGAATGTGATAGATGCAGAATATATTAGCCTGCGAATTGTGTCGGGTGAGGCGAATTCTTGTCAACAAACAAATACTCCACTTATATTCAATTCGTTTATTAATTCATATCTAATGAATTGTATTATATTGAATTCGTGTCGTGTATGAACCGTGTATAACTGGTATATAAACGAGTCATATTGTGTATTGATTGACTTCACATATACCCAATTTGTTTATTAATTAACTCATGTTAGGTCCAAGTTTATTAAATGGGTAAATTAAAGAAGATTGTGTTAACGGGTCGCGTTATATTTTGATTGAGGAGATGACAATGACCATGCTTACGCCATACAAATCCCCATACCTTTTGTAATTTTCTATTGCTATATGATCACTCTCTTTAAATCCCTATCTCTCCCTCTCCACCCACTTGTGTGTTTAGTGATTATACTGTCATAATAATCACCATCATTAGAACAAATATTTAGTACATGTTTGTTTATCGGGTTTGGTACGAATTTGGAAGGAGATTTAAGAAAAATAATTTGATAGACCACTTAATTTTATATTTGATTAAGACTTTTAAACCTGAAATTCATATCTCGGCCTGCAATAAATAGTGCATTAGAAGCCAAATATGGGGATTTATTGAAACCCATAAGAGTATAGGTTTTAAAAGTATATGATTGAATTTAAAGATAAAAAGATTATTTTACCCAAAAAATTATTTTTTTATTCACCTAATAATAAAAATTTTAGTAAATTAAGTAATATGATTTGACATGAATATATGGATTCCACATATATTAATTTCACCTACCAAATATAGGGTGAGATTGAATTTTTGATTGAATCTCATGTAGAAATCTCTTGGATTGAGTTTAAAACTAATCAAATTCCCCCGACGTGGATCATCCAAACATGTCCTTAAGGAGCTGTTTGGTATGCGGGTTTGGGGGGGGGGGGGGTTTGGAACATGGGTTGAGGACTAAACTCTCTTAAATCTATGTTTGATAATTACGGATTTAGCCTAGAGTTTGAAATATGGCCCGGTCATGAAACCCTTATTCATGGGTTTCGTGAAACCCATGGGGGTGAGTTTAGCGGTTTCACATTCAAATGATATTTATACCCTCATATATTCATATTTATGTTTGGATTAAATTAGTTAAGGGGCATAATTGTTATTTAAATAAAAAAAATATTATCATAATAGTCATATATCCTTGCACATATCAAACATGAGTATGAACAATATTAAATATTGAATCCCTTCTTTAAATCTCATCTTTGGTCAAACCCGAGTTTGGATAAGTTAATCCAAACCCTTCCCAAAAAACATATCAAACAGGCCCTAAGGATCAGGTCAATAGGTCACTTGTTCAACTATTGGATTACTAATCGAACGGGTTAAATAATAAAAAATAATAATAATTATAAATAATAATTAATAGACTAAAAAATCACAATAAATTATGATAATAATAACATGTAAAGTTAAATACAGATACATAAGGCAATAAATTCAACCTTATCTTATTTCACAACATAAAAAAGCACCACATATCTAAAATCAATTTCAAGCCTAAAATTTCTAGTATCAATAACATCCCAACAATATTGTAACCCACAAAAAAAAAATGAAACCCACAAAGTGTACATATTACTATTAGATAGAGTAAAGAAACTAAGATCAAACTCAGATCAACCCAACAGTTCTGAAAATATAGTATTATCAACTGTCAATTATCAATATTCAATGTATATAATATAACTCACAAAAAAAATGCAACCCAATGTAAAAAAAATAGCATTATCAATTATCAAAATTCAATATATACAAAATACAGATAAACAATCAAATATATACTAAGTGAGAGGGAGAGAGAAAGAAAGTAGAGTTAGTAGACAGTAGTATACCTGTTGCGGTGCTTGGTGGTCGTCGTCGATCTGTTACCTCGATGTAGATGGAGCTCTGAAGTAGTGAAGGTGAAACAACTTTATCCTTTGAAGAAGTTTAGGGATCAAAAGTTCCCTCCCCTTCGATTTGAGTCTTCGATCGATTCTTCATCCTCGCAGTGAAGGTGAAGCAGAGACCGGAGATAGAGACAGACCGATGAGAAAGAGAGAGAGAGAGGGGTAGGGCTGTCAAAATTTGACATGACACGATTAACAGATACGAATCGACACGAATTAAGCGGGTTTGGGTGATAAACGGGTTGACACGCCAAACACGTTTAATAAACGGGTCGTGTTCGGGTGAGGCCTGTCAATCAGTTTATCACATGTTTACCTGTTTAAATAAAATTAATATAATAATAAATTAATAATTATTTTAAAAAATTAGTAAGAAAAAAAGAAATAAAGAAATCAATAAGAAAAAAGAAGTAAAATAGTAGTTCAAAAACAAAAAAGAAGGGATGAGGAACACTTCAAAGACAAAGACAAGTCTTATTTGTCCTACATTGAAAAATGATGGGAGATGGGAAGGGTTGAATTGTCTATAAAAAATAATAGCCTCTTACTTTTCTTTTTTTTTAAGTTTTTAAGTCTTATTTGTCCCACATTGAAAATTGAGGAGAGATGGGGAGGGTTGAGTTGCCTAAAAAGCAATGACCTCTTACTTTTTTTTTTTAAGTTTTTAAGTTTTATTTGTCCCACATTAAAAAATGAGGGGAGATGAGGAAGGTTGAGTTGCCTATAAAAAGCAATGGTCCCTTACCTTTTTTTAAGTCTTCAAGTCTTATTTGTATCACATTGAAAAATGAGAGGAGATAGGGAGGATTGAGTTGCTTATAAAAAATAATGACCTCTTACTTTTTTTTTTTAAGCCTTCAAGTCTTATTTTTATGAGATTTGACTAAAAAATCTTCTTTTTTGAGGTAAGTGCAATTGACAATAAAAAAAATGGAGTATTAAAATTTGTTAATATAATTTTTTTAAAATTAAATGGGTTAAACGAGTCGTGTCATATTACCCGTTTATTAAATGGGTCGTATTCGTGTTGAGATTTTTTATCTGTTTATTAAACGTATCGTGTACGGATTTATATATTTTTCACCCGTCACCCGTTTAATCCAACACGTTTGACACCCCCAGAGAGGGGTTGTTCGCTTCTTTGTGAATATGGGGGCTAGTTGGGGAAGAGAAGGAATGATTAGGGCTGAACGACAAAAATGCTCAAAAGTGCCCCCAAAATTAATTTTTAAACTAAATAAAAAAAATGCAGCCGATTTAGCGTAGTCTTCCAGTTTAATGTTTTTTTTATCGATTTTGCACGTTTCTCCGGGTTTACTCTAGTTTTGGTGCATAACTGATCCAATAGATTAACTGGCCCGATTTAGGCACCGGTCCACTAGGTTGACCCGTCGGGCTAGGCCGAATTTTAAAACACTGATTATAGCTGCATAATAGAGAAAATGTTAGACGACGGTAACACCACGTTATCATTAATACGTTGTATCACTATTCAATAATAAATAAATAGACAAGGTAAACTCCACTTGGGTGGTTATTAAATGACATGACAAAGTAGTTATGAAAAAATACGGGATTCACCAGTCTACATATTATCTTATTATTGAACGATTACACCATGTCAGCATGATGACATGGTGTAACGGTTATACCCAATATTTTTTTCCAAAAAAAGATGCGGACCGTAAATTTTAAACTGAATAATCTACAACAATTGATTGAAAAAATAATACATAATAAAGCATTATCATTGATCAAAAAGTAAATGTCCGGTACCAAAAAATGCATTTGGATATGAATAATATCATACTTACTAAGTTTTTTATTTTAAATAATATGACACAACCTCTATCATTGAATATTAATGACACCCACAATCACATCACTTGGGATTAAAAAATTTTGGTGAGCGTAACAATATTGTTTCGGTATCTAATACGCCCTTATTTAAGTGGAATGAGTAAAAGCTCCAATGGTGTGATGGAAGTGGGTCGGTAAAGAGCCGGACCGGGCCTTCTGGCCCACCCATTAATAGTTAACGT